GTGCATACCCTCTGGTCATTCAGATTAGCTCGATAATATCGTGTCTTACGTACGGCTCTTTCCTTTCTTCTTTTCCACCACGGCGCGTCCGAGTCCAACTCCTCCGTCTTTGCCTCGGTTGTCTGCACCTTCATTTTGCGGATCGACAGAAGCCCTGTCGACAACCCAACGGCCAGCGTCTGCAGAGTTGGAGACACTGCCATCGACAGAATAGGTGCCGGATACCTTGAGGAATGTGTGGTCTGTACGCATATGAAAACAAAAGAGCAAAGAAGACATGAGACGGCCAACCCAACCACACAAGTTTGAGAAATACCGCATCAGAGCATGTTAGTCCGTTGCTGAGTGAATCAATCTCTCAGCCTCAATCAACCTGTCAAAAGATAACCGACGAAGTTATATGAACCCAAGGGTTCCCCAAACGGAACGAGTCAAGGTCTCCGCAAACGGAACGAATGGGCGAAGTTATATGATCCCGAGGGATCCCCAAACCGAATGAATCAAGGTCTCTGCAAAGGAAATGGAGCACAGCCGTGTTTTGGATGCATGCATGAGCTCTCCTCAAAGTGAAAACGATGAACGCTAACAACGACGTAGCCGGTCTGTACAATACACCATGACACACAGAAGCAACCACACAATTGAAATAATTAAATAACAGATTAATAATAAAGCAATTGATCCAATCGATCTAATTCAGTCCCATTGAATGGATCCCATCCAATCCGTTCCCCCAAAAAAAGCCCGTCAAATCCATTCCCATGCTATCCCATCCAGCCCCATCAAAATCCAATCCAAATCCAAGCCATCCCAATCTCTATCCCATCCCATCCCATCCCATCCCATTCAATGAAATTTGATCAGAGTCAGTAAAAATCCCAATCCCAATCCTATCCTATCCAACTGAGCCCCATGCCTCCTGTCCCATCCTATCCCATTACATCTACCGACAGCCCAGTCCCATTCCACTGCTCACCAGGGTAGCATGGCACTGGCCGCCGATGCTCACCAGCCAACTGCTTCCCACTGAAGCAACCGTGTCCCCCAGTCGGCTGACCACCGATGCGTTGACAGAGGCCAGCCGGAAACTCAGTTCTCTGCAAGGGGGGGAGAACACAGGCAGGCTGACAGGTTTCTGTGGTTTCTGTGGTTCCGTACACTTAGTAAGACGGTTTCTGACAGGTTTCTGTGGTTTCAGGGGGTGTGGCCAGCGTTGCAGAAGAAACACACACACACACACACACACACACACACACACACACACACACACACACACACACGTGCACGCGCATCGAGCACACACACACTGTTGACAATTTTTAATTTTGACGTTTTTTTTTAATTGCGGAAAACAAGCAGTCATTTGTACCCGCAGTCAGGCGCATGAGAAGATGCACCTCCAGCCCACATACGCATACGATGCTCACCTTAAATGAATCCAACTCGTAAACTTTGACGTGTCCATCGAGTGAGGCAGAAATAAGCCGAGGCCCATCGCCCCCTATTACGGTTGACTGTGTCGCAACCCCAAGAGGTGACGAAACCTGAACAGATGTGATAGTTTTCTGATGGTTTGACACTCTCTTCAGTAATCGGCCTCCTGCGATTATATCCCAGATGTTCATATAGTTTGCACCTGCCATAGCAACAGAACAAACAAACATAACTTTGATGTAGAAAGGTGCAGATTTACAGAGTTTCCCATAACAGCTCCACAACTCACACGATGACATGAAGAGAACAGAAGACTTGATGTAGAAAGGACAATGTTGTTGTAGCTCGTTAAATTTATTAAATTGACTTGGTACTTTCTCCACAGACAGAATGCGGAAAAAAAAAAAAAAAAAAACAGAAAATGGAGGGAACCATTCAACCTATGACATGAATGTGTCTATACTGCAATGAATTGCAGTGAAGTGCGGGCTGTACACTAATTCGCTACTGCCTGTATTGCGCTTCCCGGGATTCGATCCCGTGACTGGAGTTGTGTGTTTGTTTGTCTGTGTGTACACTAACTGTGTTTGTTGTTTCCTTTTTTTGGGCGTTGCAGGACTTGAACCCGTGACTTGTAGTGTGACTGGTTTTGAGGCTTGCTGGGCTTGAACCTTGAACATGTCGCTACCGTCTTCCCCCGAACACAACGCACCCTCATTTTGGCTGTACCTGGCCAGAAATATAGCTTGTATACATTCATTTTTAGGGTGCGTTATGTTCGGGGGAAGACGGTAGTAGTCTCTACTTCGTAGTCTTAGGCCTTTCAGCCTCGTTGTTTTGTCCTTTTCTGCCCTTCTAGAAACTGGTAGGCCCGTAGGTCTTCCTTTTGTGTGTCCTAGCCTCGGGTTCCCTTAGTCTAGGTGTCCATCTAGATGCACGTAGGTAGATCTTGACTGTGTGGCCAGAGATGTTGGCTGTTTGGACGGTCAGATAGGTCTGTAGGTGGCTGCTGTGTGGTAGGCCTGGGGAAGTAAGTAGGCAGAGGCCGACGAATCTTGGTTCTGTTTCGTTTTTTTTTTCCCACAAAGTGCTGCTGGAGGTCGGCCTTGGGAGCTGCGTTAAATTTGGCGCTCAGTCTTCTTCTTCCTCGAAGGGAAGTGGGCGGCCATAGCTGGGGTTACGGGACTTATGCAGGTCTGGCCCGGGCATCAGGCCCAGCTCTGTGAGGCGCTGTCCCGTTGGGGTTAAGGCATTTGCCGTCGAAGCAGCCCTCTCCGATGCTGTTTTCGAAGTGGCAGGCCATCCATCGTCTGCATCGAGTTGATGTTCTTCTTCTTCATCATCCTGGGAGCTGCGCTCCCCTGCTGACTGGACACTTCATCTGCAGTGCGCTGCTTGAGTGGTGCAGAGAGGGGTGTTGGATTTAGGAGGGTGTGTGGCGATTGGCAGGCTTGATAGGTTGGGTGCTTGCAAGCACCATAGCTAGAGCTTGAGGAAGATGGAGGAAGAAGAAGACTCCCCGATACTTCGATGAAACGTCGTATGTAATTGATCCGCGCGTGTGTTGATAACGTGGTTGGGATCCTCGGAACAAGTACTCCGAATTGATTGGAGGAGCGTGAGGGATTACAGAATTGAAATTCGTTTTTCGATTCTGTGTGTAGTTTGAGCTTCCGCTGTGCATATTTTATCTCCGGTTTTGTGTGGATTTGCCGCCTTCGAGTCTACTCTGCAATTGCATGCGTGTATGGGAACGTGTGAATTCATTCTGGATTGAATTTCAATCCGGTACATAACAATACAATAGAAACAAAATTGAAATCGAAACCCAAAAAATGAAAGGGTAACTAGCAAGGAGAAGAATTAAAGAGAAAAGAACTTCAAAAAAAGGACACAATTGACTGTTAATCAGTGTTAAACCACCAGTACATTTCCCAGCCGTTTTTACAAAGTCGCAGAGTGCATGCAGGATGATGCAGCCGCCACTTTCGGGGCTCAGCCTCCGGAGCAAAATGGCTACCGGCACCAGCCAAAAGGAGACCCGAGATGGTTCATATTTTTTGGGCGTGCACTGTGCAGTGTGCAGTGCATTTCCAGCCCCGGAGAAAAGTGCCTTGGAAGTACTTACTGGTGGTTTAAGTGAGGGCAATCATGACAATTGGGATGGAGAAGGGGAATCGGTTACCCCAACATATTTTCCTTTAGCCACCAAATGCCGTCCGCTTCTTTTTCTTTCCTTTGGAAGGGAGAGGGGGGCCGGTTAGGGAAGGGGGGGTGGTTGGGAAAGGGGGGTACTACCACCACCTGTGCTAGCCGTCACAGAAATCACCGTCCATGAGAAGACTTTCTAACAGAACTGTTGTTGAGATATTCATAAAGGATCAAATGTGCATTCCTATAACCGAGGCACACAGAGCTGGAGCAAAACCACGAAGGAGATGCAGTTCTTCACAGATACGGGATTAAGCAAAAGATCCAGCATCTGCAGAATCCACAAGATGTCAAGAACTAGAAGAATTTCTCTTTTTTGTTAAGAGCTGGACGATCAAGAATGTGCACACCAAAACAGACCAGGCAAAACCACGAGGGAGATGCGGTTCTTCACAGACATATATGGGATTGTGCAAGATCCACCATCTACAAAATGCACAAAAGATGTCAAGAACTGGAAGATTTTTTTCTTTTTCGTTGAGCCACCCAGTACTTGGCCCAGCTATCCGCCGTGGAAAAAAATAGAGTAGAAACGTTTCTAGTTGTCGGATGAATTTGAACGCTCCTCTAGTGACCCAAACATTTCCTAAAATTGTGGCTTGTTAACGGGCACGACATTAGGAAGTACTGGTGGTTTAAGAGCTGGAAAATCAAGAAATATACCTAGATTGTGCACTCCAAAACAGACCAGGTTCAAAGTTCAAACCTGGGTTCCAGAGTGGTCCAGACAGCATGTTTGACATCATATGAGACTTCGCAATGTTCACATAGCATATTCTAACAAGAATCTGCTTGACAAATCCAGGATGGAAAAAAAATAAAAAAATTGAAACATCAAGTAGAGGCTCGCGTTGCCATAACAATTGTCTGGCATATATTATGCTGACAAACAAAGAGCTTTTCTTTTTCTCTTTTTTCAAGTTTTTTG